CAAAATTCATACAATAAATTCTTCCTAAACACCTTCATCATAAACTTTCTCAAAACTGTATTTATGAGGTCGTCCCACACATACACACATGTGCCAATCCTCACCAGATATGTGCCACACTTATACACACAATAAAATGTTATATAAGTAATATATAATTTGCAATTCAAAATGTACTCCATTAGTAACGCTAACGCTGTTACAATTCACGTGCATGTCTTAATATTTTTTATGAAATTTGCCTTGCCATGTCTGTTTTTGATTTAGGAATGTTGTTTTTTTTATTTTATTTTTATTACTGTCTGCCCAGACCTTGTATTTCAGATTTCTCTTTGTTGATTACCCTTGATATTGTTGTTTGCACCTGTTTGACCATCCTTTCATTAAAGCTGCATTTGGAACTTTCACCCAACTGTCAACACACCCATCATTACATTCTGTACACACCACTAATAGTAGTGTATTACAAAAGCATGTGTAATATTTGTTTGATTTTTTATTTTATTTTTTATTTTTTTGGTGAAGCAGGCGCTTAGTCATTGAAAGGATATTTTACTAGGTGCTTTCTGTAAATACCTCAAGATTCAAAAGTGCCACGGGAACCCTTAGTGATCAGTTTGAATGTGAAATAATATATTTATTAAGGTACTTAAAACACAACAAAGGAATGCAATTCAATAAAATTAACTTAAAGGGCACCTATGGTGAAAAATCTACTTTTCAAGCTATTTGGACAAACATATGTCTTTATAGTGTATAGACCATCATATTGGGGTAATATAAACACACCCAGTCCTTTTTTTTTCAATTTAACAGCATAAAAACGGTGGACCAATTGGAGCGGTTTTCAGACCGCCCCCCGCCCACCGAAATGATTGACACCTGCGCGCATTAACATGTCCCGGTAGTCACGTGTATATGTCAACAAGACCAGACATACGCAAAGCAACCAGGGGTCCGTTCTTCGTACGTGGATTACTCAGTTAGCTGGATTTGGATATTGACGATTTGACACGATCCAGGATCGTTTTGTTCTTCAAAGCTGATCCGAGAGTTGTTGTCATGGCAACAGTTCTGCTAGGTCAAACCTGATCGGGAGCAGGTTCAATTCATATAAACAGGATTAGATCGGCTCAGTTCAAGCAAAGATAATACAGAAAGTATGTTCCGAATTCTGATATTTTCTTACAGTAGTAGTTATATACACTTGGGAAAATGGTACATATTTTTTAACTATATATATAAAGTTAGTCATTAATAAAATTAATTAAGTTATACATTTTAATAAAACTTATGCAATCTGCACCCTCGAAATGAAAGTACAAAGACTGCCACCTGGTGCAAAGAGAAAACTTATTGATATGAACTTTTTAGATCGCTTTAGTACAAATTGTGTATGATGGAAATGCACAATATGTGACTTTTTTAAAGCAATAATACATTTCAGCAACCATAAACATGTTTTGATAGTTAATATGCCCGTGATTTGATGCTTCACAAAAGTTGCAGACGCCTTTACCAATATGAAAACGCTTTTGTAAACAACCAGTTATTCTTTACACCGATTAAAAAACGGCTACAATAATAAAGAAAATATTTTCTAAATGTAGAACTAAATACATTGATTTGCATTGAAATACATGATGAATACACTTGACACATGAAAGTGGAAAGCCTGCAGCTCACAACAAATGTGGAAAGTTCTTGCGTGAAATTTAACAAGCCGTTTACTGCTAATTTGATGTAATTTTGCTCACATGGATAATTGAATATTAATCAGATGATGTCATTACGCTGCTGTGCCGTCAGCCAATCGTTGCATTGCTGATCATGATTTCGAGGATCTATAGATCTGTCCTTCACAACACACGCAGCGATCTCAGATCAGTTTATCCAGACATTCTAATCTGATTCGCGAACTCGTTTGAAGAACCAAATTAGACAGAGATCAGTTATCAAGATTAAAAGATCCGGGATCTGCCAAATAATCTTAGATCATTTAAGCGAGGTACGAAGAACGGACCCCAGGAATAAAAGGTCTGTTCTGTTCACTAGGATCAGCAATCATCGTCAAATGTGATTAAGAGTAAGTTTCACATGTTTAAAGTGTTTTAAAACAGTGCACGTGTGTAATGAAGTACAGCGATTTACTTCAGCTTTACTTCATCAGCACAGCCGCGTGTCAGAACACTTACTGTATAAAAGTGTCAGCTGTGGTGTGCGTGCGTATCTGTGTGTGTTTGTGTGTGTGTGTGTGTATTGTGTGTGCGCGCGTGAACTTTGTAACGATATTGCATGTGACTCATCAATGCAACTTCACAACAAATACTGACTAGTAAAGCTCTTACTGTAGTATTTCTCACAAACGCTACGTGAGACTTTTTTTAAGTCTGTCTGTTGTCTGACGCAGCCGAATGAGGAGATTAAAGCACGCGGGAAGGCACGTAGAAACAGTAGGCGGGGAAGACTCGTCTTAAAGGCGCAGTACGACAAAACCACCCCCTGGTGGAAATGTGTATAAAACAGGATCTTGTAAAAGGTATAATGAAAAATCTGATGGGTGTTTTGAGCTGAAACTTTATATACTCAGAGACACAAAAGACTTATATTAAATCTGAAAAAAGGGGTAACCTAGGTGCCCTTTAAAGGTGCAGTATGTAAGTTTGACACCTAGTGGTTAAACTAGGTATTGCATCCCTGGATCAAAACAAATGAAAGCGCATGTCGCTAGATTGAGGACCAATAGATGTGAGCCAGATGATCGAGCCTAAAGGCTGATTTAAATCCTGTTCTAAATAAAAGCGACGGCAAGCGTTAGAAGAAATGTTTTCTATATTAAAAGCAGTTTTTGTTCTAACCAACACCTCCAATTAATATATTAGAAACGGCTTCTCACAGATGAACAACAGAAAACTATGACAATGATTACCTTAGGTACACCTCATGTGCTTTATACAGTGTTAAATGATAATAATAATATTAATGTAATGACTTTGTGTGCCATTTCACCTGACATTTATAGCCATACTACTGAAAGCAGCCACAGACTTCAGATCTTTCAAGTAAAATAAACCATTTGAAATTGAACTTTAGAACTGAGACTCAAAGCCAACACATATCAGTGAATCAGCATCTACATTTAATAATATTAAAGAGGTTTAATATGTATTAATTAGATTATAAAGCTTACCATTTCGTTGTAGTGCAGTAAGTGCACTATTCTGTGCTTCTGAATGGCTGCATTAAGTTTCTTTTGTGTTTCATCTTGTATAAACAGCCAAATTGCTTACCACTGGGCATGTAGCATGTTGTTAGGACACGATGTTACATGTAACTTGGTCACCTAATGTTTACAATCACAATATTTGTATTTTTTGCCAATTTATAACCACCTCATGTGGAACTCTGAATCTGCATCTCATTTCAGAGTCTGCTACTGTCCACCAAAGGTTGCATTTTGGTCAAGGATGCATGCTTTGAGAGCCTTTCTGAATGAATGAAATATGGGGTTTTCCACCAAGGCAACCTGATGCCTGATGTTCAGACTGCATGATTTTCAAAGTAGTTGTGCCACAGACATTTTCACACTGCATGACTATCTGGGCTTGCGTTTCGTCGCTGCTTTGTTTACACTGCAAGATGGATCGGCGACCGGGACATTCACATTGCATGACTTAACTATAGGAAGAATCGCCGACAACTTCGTCCAAACTACGTCTCACAGCCAAAAACATGTAGTATATCTTTTATTATTAACTACATAATGAGAAAGAAGCCTTAATGGGGTAGAACATGTACATGTTTGCTCACCTGGGTTTAAAGAATTAGCCATTTCTCCTCAACGTTGATAATAAACTAATTTCTTTCTGTATGAAACGTCAAACAGACACAGTTGCTCCTGTGTCCTGTCAAACCTCCACTAGTTTTTCCTCCATTTCATGAGTCCAAATAAACCGAAAATGAGCACTTTTAACTTCTCCCCCAGCCTCCCGCTGGCCTGCAGCAGGTTTACACACACGCACACACAAGTGAATGCTGCTCTCTTATTGGCTGTAGGCGATTGCTGATGTTATTTTCAGTCAAAACTCAATTCACACGGCATGATTTGAATCGCCGACAGCTCCAGATATTCAGCACGCCAAATATCTCACAGGCATCGGCGACTCATCTGCGATTCTCTCAGATAGCTCAGATAGATTCTCTATTTTCACCTGGGGATACTCATCCCGAGGTCCTCAGATTATGCGGAGTCACTGATTGGATCCAAGACCAGCGACGAGATGATCCCAAGGATTCCATATCCGGGACCAGGCCATATCCTGAGCTGCTGCTGCGCTGATGGTCGTGGGGAGTGGAGAACATGTGTCTGATTCCAGCAACGCTCCAGGGACAGACGAGTCTTCGCTGAGGCCATCTTCCAGCCTCCACCATGGCGACTGAAGCTCTGCACAAGACTTTTGGCCAGCGGAGAAATTAAAATGGTCATGCCCAACTGAGTCTGGTTCTCTCAGGGTTACTTTTCTTCACTCCCATCAGGTGAAGTTTTTTTTCCCTCTCCGCTGTCGCCACTGCCTCGCATGGTTCAGGATTGGTAGAGCTACGCATCGATGAATTTGCTCTTCAGTGTTTGAACTCTCAGTAATGATTAAATCACACTGAACTGAGCGAAGACAGACGTTCCGAATGCACATTTTCAAAGCAAAATATCTGACTTCATCATTGTTTTTCTGATAAACAAGAATGTTCACTTGGCATTTTTCTAAAATATCTGCAAATATAGTATGGTATTTTTATGCTAGAAAAGTCAAAAACTTACATACAGCACCTTTAAAATGTAATGCTGTTATTTCAATGTGCTTCTCTGATTCTGCTTTAAACTATGTTTGGAATTGCATCAGGTGACAGCATCAAATTATAAGCATACAAGAAATTTAAAGCTCCTCCTCTTCACAGTACAGTATATAAACAAGGGCGGTGAAAGCTGGCACTGACAATCACAACTGCACTGAAGGGTAAGATTTACAATTCATTTTTTACATAAATGATCAAACATGAAAAAATTAATTATATTATTGTTATTATAAGCAGTTATTTAATCTGTTAGTATTGCTACTGTATATGTTGTTTTCACAGGTGTGACATTAAATCTCAAACCACATCTAAAATGAAGCCTACTGAATCTAGGTCCTGGTTTCTGTCTTTCTCCAATGCAATTGCAGTTGGTTTACAGGTAATTATCAATACAACTGCTAACTGAATATTTCTCTGTAGCTTCAGATTACAGGAGCAGCAACCAATAATTTACCGTATTTCTGTATTTACTGAAACATGATTAATGTTAAGCTGTGTTATTTGGGTTTTGTAAAACGGCTCGTATAGCCATTTGAGACAATATTTGTGTTAAAAACGTGTCACTCTTAAAATTGACTCATAAAGTTTTATATATTTCATACTGTGATAGCAACTAAATTTTACAAAAAATTTCCCTGTCAGTAACAACTAACCTTTATCCAACCTCTTTAAAAAGATAAAAAAAATTAAAATTTTTAAAGCATAAAACAAATCAAAACATTCATTCATTCATTTATTTTCTTTTTGGCTTAGTCCCTCAAATCGAAACATTGTTTATGAATTATGAGCTGTAATTATTATCCATCTGTAATTTGTAATTTTAGGCATCCAGTGTCATTTGGTTATTGCACCTGTATAAAAACAATGTGCCACAATTACAAACATGATCAAATTACAACCTTATTCCAGCATTTATACATTTACTTTCAGATGAGAAAGCATGAAATTAACAGTTCAATCAGTGGAGATCTGGATGAAAATGAAACTGGTAAAAAAAAACTATTGATATTATACAATAAAATGTAATTAATACAATATTGCATGTTATCTGATATGTTAAACAAAAAAGAATAGAAAATACTTGCGTATCTGGTTACTTTACACTGTCTAACAGAACAAAAAAGTGAGCTTCGGATTGTCCTGATTGGAAAGACGGGAGTTGGAAAAAGTGCAACAGGAAACACCATCCTGGGACAAGAAGTTTTTGAATCAGCATTTTTGGCTTCATCTGTTACTCGCAAATGTGAAAAGAAATTTGGGGTTGTTAATGGAAGAAGAATTTCAATTATTAACACTCCTGGAGTTTTTGACACGAGTGTGAGCAAAGAAGATACAGAGAGAGAGATTAAGTACTGTATGTCTTATTCTGCTCCAGGTCCACATGCCTTTCTAGTTGTCCTTAAACTGGAAAGATTCACTGAAGAAAATGCAAAAGCATTAGAATACATTGAACGATTATTTGGTAAAGAAGCTATAAATTACACCATGGCGCTGTTCACTCATGCAAGTCAGGTTAAAGATCAGGAGGACTTTGGGGCGTATGTGAGCAGTGATGAAAGACTACAGGCATTTGTCAGAAGATGTGGAGGAGACTGCTTTTGGATTGACAATGACAAAAAGGATCCAGCACATGTTATGCAGCTGCTAGACAAAATTGAAGAAATGGTGCGATTTAATGGCGGTGCATACTACACTAATGACATGCTTCAGGAGGCAGAGAGAGCAATCGAAGAAGAGAAACAACGGATCCTGAAAGAGAATGAAGAAAGGTACAAGAAGCAGATGAAGGCTCTAGAGCAACAAAATCTAGAGCGTGAACAATTCGAGAAAATGAAAAGGCAGCTACAAAATCAACAGGAGGAACAGGCAAGAAGACAATATTATTATTAATTATATTATTATTATTAGTAATAACTATAACATATTATGGTAACAGTCTGTTACCATAATAATTATAAATTGACTTTTCCATACTTGCTTGCCATGACACTTCACTTTTTAAGTCCTTTTGTTGACGTTACTATAGTTACTATAGTTTTTTCTTTTCATCAGTGATGTATATTCGAGTTGTATATAACAATAGTGTTCATAAATAATGTTTATTGCATTATTTTAATTCTATGTCTGTTACCATAATGGTGCTTAGCCCTTGTGTGAATGACGCTGAGAATGTATTGTGTTTCTATGCTCCTGGGAAAAGTGATTTGTGATGAGCTATGCCATTCTCATCACCACCTGCTTTTGGTTGTGTTTTTGTCTGTAACAAAGGTATGATGTGTAGATGTTAGTATTTAAAAACTGGTGTATAAAGTAATTTAATAAAGTAGATAACCATACAATTTTAAAAATGAATTTGCACTTTCTATCATATTTGTAATGGTAAAGTTCTGGCAACCACTGGCTTTTTTTTCCCTTCAGATTAATACCTGCTAACTGTCCCAGTGTAGGCGAAATATGACTGTGGTGAGTAATGCTTGTCACCGCCCTAGCCAGTTCGGCAGTTTATGAATAATAAATTATGTTCTTTCATTTTGCATGTCATAGTCAAAATACTTTAGAAGCTTATTTACAGACTTATGCAAAAGTTTGGCCACCCCTGATCATTTTCATAACTGCAAGCCATAGCCTGCTGGCCTTTTAAATCATCAAATTCATTTATATACATTTTATATTTTAAGTTGTGACATAACATTTATTTAATCAACACATTCAATGCAATTTAAGTCATATCAAAAACAGACAGATGCAAAAATTTGGGCAACCCAACAGAATAATGACATCAATCTTTTGTACAGCAACCTTTTGCTGAAATAAACAATGGTATCTGGATGCAGCCTTTATGATGCAAGCTGAGATTGCATCACTCAGCAATGGAATGTCAGACACAATGCACTCAAATGGAGCAAGCGACGTCACTGTGAGGGGTAGGGTTAGGGGTGGGGTTAGGTGAACCTATTAAAAAGCATTGGATGCAGCTCAGATTGCAGTGCACCAGGTCTGCATCCAGACGCCTCTCAAAATAACAGCCTGTAGACACTTCTTGTAATCAAGGATAAGTCGCTTAGTTCTTGATGAAGGTCTTTTGGGCCATTTTTCCTTGCAAAATGTTTCTAGTTCAGTTCATGGGTTCAAGCACGAACAGCCCTTTTCAAATCAATCCATAGATTTGCAATGATGTTTAAGTCTGGAGACTGGGATGGCCATTCTAGAACATTGTATCATGTTGGACCAGGAATTCCTTGGGATCTGGAACTGTGATTAGGGTCATTGTCCTCCTGAAACATCCAACCCTACCGTACCTTCAGCCTCCTGACTGATTTCTGATCATTGTTCTTCAGAATCTGCTGATACTGGGTGGAAATCCATGTGACTTTTAACTCTGATAAGGTTTCCAGTACCTGTCCTTGCCACTCATCCACACAGCATGATTGATCAAACACCATATTTTACAGTAGGGAGCATGTTCTTCTACTAAACTGCTTTGAGTTCTTTTGCCATTATGCAAATTGTCTATGGTTGTGGCATCTGTTCACTGTATATTTTTCCAAAATGATTCAGGCTTGTTCAGGCTTAATGCATACCCCAAACAACTCTTCTTGTTGGCAGAATAAAAGAAAACCTTTTTCTGCATCACCTTCCATTGAGCTGTTCTTTGCTGTGGAACAATGTACAATGACATTATTAGCAGCAAAATGTTCCTGGAGCTCTCTAGAGGTGGTCTGTAGTTTGTCTGTGACCATTCTGACCATCCTTCGCCTTTGCCTTTCTGATATTTTCTTGGCCTAGCTCATCTTTCAAGCTCCTTTACAAGAACTGTTCCTGTGGCCTTTTACTTTCTTACTATATTTCCGACTGTGGAGATAGACACTTTAAACCTTTGGGATAGCTTTTTGCATCCTTCTAATTCATGTTGATGAATCATCCTAGATTTTAGGTCATTAGGAAGATAGTTTGAGGTTCCCTTGTTGCAACTTTCTGGTTCACAACAAGAATCACAATTAGCAATCAGCTATCTATCATTTTCATTAATCATTACACTTGTGTTGTAATCAAACAGCATTAAGTGACTACAGGTTTTGAAATCTACACAAAGACGTGTCTAAACTTATGCATAGCCTAATTTTTAGTTTCAATTGTATTTCACACATTTCAATACTGCTACGCTGCGTATTTCTGTCTGAAAAACATGAAATTATTTAGCTTTCTCTAGAAACTGAATAGCATTTCACTGTGGTCGCTTATAAAGAAAGAGCACATAATAATGCAGCAATTATGCATAAAATTGACCACATGTAGTAGAACCTAGTGTTTTTTTTTTTTACTTATTTACTTTTTTACCATTTTAAGTTGAAAACAGAATAACTAAAACATACTCTTAACATCACTTTATAGTCAATTTAACTTCAAAAATGAATAGACTGATTAAACTTGGTGTTGGAGTTGTGAGGTGGTAAATGCCAAACTCCCAAATCATTCAAAAAAACAAGTGGGGTAAAAATCATACACAAATAGTGTGATTTCTACATAGATTGCAGAGTTTGGTTACAGTACTGCATAATATGTCAGTAGAGTCTGGGTTGGTGTCTGCATGAACTTTTAAATGCATTTCCCCCCTACACTACATAGAACATATACCTCTTCAGGCTATGTCATTGTGTTGAATAGTACAGTCACATCTGTTTTGTTCTGTGAAACTGAAAGTATTTTGCACCCTTGACTCATGGAAATCAGCTTAAGGCAGAACATTCAAATTCTCAATCATTTGCATTTAGCTTTGCATTTTTAGGTGAAGTCCGTTGTGTCAATTTCTAATCATTCTCTATATAAGGATGCTGCTGAAATTATCATTTTTTGTTCATTTGTTTGGAGACCTGTAAAGTTTGTCACTTTTTTGACTCTTGTTTCCATAATTTTGATGATGTTGCTCATTTAATTCCTTAATAGTTTGTATGTACAGTATATTGCTATTTTGATATATAAAGTTAGATTTTTTATTCATTCTTCTTTTAGATCATCTTTATCTTTGCTTATTAAATATTATAACCTATTATACAACAATACACCTTTCTAGTACCGGGTTGTACCCCCTTTTGCCCTCAGAACTGCCTCAATCCTTTGTGGCATAGATTCAACAAGGTACTGGAAATATTCCTCAGAGACTTTTGCTCCATATTGACATGATAGCATCTCACAGTTGTTGCAGTTTTGTTAGCTGCACATCCATGATGCCAATCTGCCATTCCACCTCATCCCAAAGGTGCTCTATTGGATTGAATTCTGGTGACTGTGGAGGCCATTTGAGTACAGTATTCAATTGCCCAAAGTGTGCCAAAAATAATTGCGTATACCATTACACAATACCATTCAGCAGTTTCTGAAATACCCCAACCAGCCCGTCTGGCACCAAGCCATGATTAAAGTCACTTAAATCACCTTTCTTCCCCATTCTGATGCTCAGTATGACTAAAGCAGAACGTTTCATCCATATCTTGACGTCTTGACCATGTCTACATGCCTAAATGTATTAAGTTGCTGCCATGTGATTGGCTGATTAGAAATTTGTCTTAACGAGCAGTTGGAAAGGTGTAACTAATAAAGTGGCCAGTGAGTGTATACATGCAATATAATGCATGTGAAACAACATCAACAGCACTATCATCTCTAATATCCTGACACTTCTTATAGGAAAGCCAAAAAACTGCACAGAAAAGCCTAATGGTCCAGATGGGACTCGAACCTGCAAATCTTTTGCTGTAATGCAACCATGCTGCTCTTTAATTACATTTAATTGTTGTTTTAACATCTAATTATACCTTCCAGAACTGTTTTATGTGTGAAATTTTCTGAGAATTCAACCATAAGCATAAACCATCATTATATAGTTAAATAATTTAAAGGCTGACTTTCTTAAAATTTCCACAAGCAAGTACATTTTCAAAATTTGTGTAACAGTTGACAAAAAAGTTATTTTTGTTTAAGTAATTAGTAAAGTAAAAAGTAATTTTATTTTAATTTATAAAAGTAATCTTTAATTACACTTTTTTTTAATGAAAAACCTTTTTTATTTTTCCAAACGAACAATCTAATATTAAAAGAAAAAATCTTGTTCAGTGTGTTTGCAAGCCGCCAGGAAAGGAATGAAGACACACAACCACCCAATTTAAAACAACAAAACATGCAAGCAGCTATTTTAAAAAACCTGCCCAACATATTTAGCTATTTTTGTTGTTGTGTCACACAAGATGCAGGCACGAGACAGAAGTAGACAATGTAATCCATGTTTAGTAAGACACAATAGTGTTTCAATGCAATGCAGGTTATGGAGATTTCTGGAGATGCCTAAAAATAATGCCTAAACGCAGATTTAAGGCTGATTTAAGTCATGTTCTGAAAAAAAGCAATGGTGGCAATAAAATGAATATTTTCATATTAAAATAAGTTTTTATCTTAACCAATACCTGGAATTTATATTTTAAAAACAGCTTCTCTTTCTTGCAGCTGAACAACTGGATAAACTGTGATCACCTCAGGTAGACCTCATGTGATTTATTCAGTGTTACATGATAATAATAATAATGAATAATGTTTGGAAGCCATTTTGCATGACATTTATTGCGATACCACTGAAAGCAGCAGGAAATCAAGGATCTTGAAAAAAAGAATAAACCATTTGCAACTGAACTTTAGAACTGTAAAATAATGCAAGCCAACACAGATTCAGCGTGTACATTTAATAATGTTAAAAAGGATAAATATGTATTAATTAGATTATAAAGCTTACCATTTCGTGAGTGAGTGCATATGCTGTGCTTCTGAATGGCTGTATTTACATTTCTGTTGTGTTTCGTCTAGTGCAAATCTCACAAAGCGTGAAGTTAGGACACAGTATGACAATTTTTCATAATATTTATATTATTTGCTAATTAATAACCACTTCATGTGGAACTCTGTGTCTGTGTCTCATTTCAGAGTCTATTCAGTCTTGAACACATGGTTTGAGAGCCTTTCTGACTGAATGAATGAAATATGCAGTTTTCCAACAAGACAACCCGGGTGCTGGAATATAATTTTCTAAGCTGGCATTGGACTGATTAATAGAAACAAAATAAAGACAGCCGTTCCAGCACGTAACGCACATATTAAAAGCCAAATATCTGACTTTATCAATGTTTTTCAGATCAGCAAGAATGTGCACTTAGCAAATTTCTTCAATATCTGCAAGCATATTAAGGTATTTTTAAGCTAGACAAAAACTTACATATAGCACCTTTAAGCTTAAGGTGAACATATTTTTTTCACCTTTTCCCTATTCATTTAGATCATGTTAATTGCACGTTATTTTGTTGCATTCTTTGTAAAGTGTCATTGAGCTCTGGAAAGGTGCTTTATAGCTAAAAATTATTATTATTATTATTATTATTATTATTATTATTGTTATTATTATCTTATTAAGGGATTTGTAAGAACATTTAATCCTTGTGCATTGCTCAAATGTTTACTACTACATTATGTTTGGGATGAAAACGTCCACTATAAAAAATGCATCTGACAATATTTTGTAATTAATCAGTTAATCAACCTTAGTTCTGATCAAAACTGCTAATGCTGTTTAAAAAAAAAACAGGATTTTGACTTTTTAATTGCCAAGTTTCTGATGTCACTCATATAGGGGAAAACACACAGACAAATTTTTATATTTTAAATATCTAAGCTGGTTTGGATATATATTTTTACCTTATCACAGTCTTGAAAATGTGAAAGATTTGTAACAACATTGGCTTTGATGCATTGTTAGTTTTTTGTGGAGCATATTTATTTTTTCCTCCTCGTTTGCTGTTCATGCACCCTTGACTTCCATTATAATGATATTTTTTTATTGATTTCTGAACTAAGACACCATATAATTATGCATTCTTGATTGTTGGTGGTTTTCCCTGTTATAGGAAGAGGTACATTTTGTCATTACCGTGGATAATCAGTTGGCATCCACTAACCCTTTGGAAAGGCCTGAGCAAAAAAGGCTTAGTTTCTGCCTTTTATATGGAGCATAACAGCAAATTTAAAATTTTTACTTCATGTAGTTCTGAGAGCTGAGGTGCTTATTTTAATTTTCTCAGACGTATAAAGGTAAGGGAACAGAGGCCTCTCACTCACACACACACACACTATATGCTTGTTAAGTCATAACATATCAGTGACGTATGAAATACGGTTTCTGGGTACAAGCCGCTACTCATTTGAATTGGGAAAATATTCGATTATGGCCACTTTTTAGTCCTATCACACTTTAAAGTGAATTTTATATAAAATCATGCTGTACATTACAGTCTCTGTATATGCTGCATGACAAACATCAATAATTGAACAATTTATAAATAATGAATCAATTTCTGGTCATCGGATATTAGGCATGGATATATATATTGCAATCGTGAATTTAGAAAGTATTACAGCGCTTTGTAAATGTTTATTATTACCATTTGTTGAGTCTCTCCATTCAGTTTGATAGAGCACTTGGACTCGGAAGCCACTTCAAGTGACGTCACACTTAAGAAGCAGATACCCCATCTAACTCAATATAACTAATGTAAATTTACCCTCAGTGTATTGTATTTTTATTTATTTTAAAGCATTTTCCCAAAGTATGTGTCAAAATAAGATTTGTCATCAGCGCAATAAGTGTTTAGCGTGCTGATATATGGTGCAGTAACACTTCAGGACGTCCCGAGTTCAAATCCCCCAATGACATTTCCCATCCCTACCCCCTTCTCTCTCTACTACTTCACTTCCTGTCTGAAATACTGTTCTATCCGCTTAAAAAAAGGCGAAATAAATAAATAAAATAAAATAAAACAAAAAATAAAATAAAATAAAATAAAATAAGATTTATCTTTCCCAGTGCTGGGTTGCTGCTGGAAGGGCATCCACTGTGTAAAACATATACTGGATAGGTTGGTGGTTCATTCCACTGGGGCGACCCCTGATTAATAAAGTAACTAAGCTGAAAAAGAATATGAATGAATGATAAATAATTTTTGTCACAAAAATCATTCCATTTGCTAAAACAGAGAAAGTTGTGAGCAAATTAAGACTCAACAGCGCTCCATAGTGGAGAAAAACATCTCCAACACAACATGAAAGTTCATTTGTTAACCAAGTTTTCTATTTATCAAGAACCAAGTTTTAAAATTACCATGAACCAGCCCTGCTAAAAAAAAAAAACAGCATGCTAGTCCAGGCTTACTAATGACTAATGCTGATGTTATGCTGATTGAACTTGCAGATCTTCATACATACAATCTATCCTGAAGCATCAGGCCTTTCTTCAACACTTTGCCACCTAGGATTTGTTAGTTTAGCACTGTCGCATCACAGTAAGAACCGGCTGAGTCAGTTGGCATTTTTGTTTGGAGTTTTCATGATCTCCCTGTGTTGGCGTGGGTTTCCGCCGTGTGCTCCGGTATCCTCCACAGTCCAAAGTAATGCACTGTAGGTGAATTGAATAAGCTAAATTGTCTGTAGTGTGTGTGGATGAGTGTGTATGGATGTGTCCTAGTACTGGGTTGCAGCTGGAAGTGCATCCACTGCGTAAAACGTGCTGAATAAGTTGGCAGTTCATACTGCTGTGGCAACCCCTGATGAATGAAGAAACTAAGCCGAATAAAAATGAATGAATGAATAAAAAAAGTCCAGACGCATAACATTCAGTCTTTTTAATTAATGACATTTTCATAAATAACAACTCAGTGACATTTATTAAAGCTGCTGTTCCCCAGAACTAAGAGTAATCATAAGTGCTTTTCTTTCAAAGAGAAAGAAACTTTCCTAGAAAAAAATGAATTTTTACACAGTAACGTGTCAGAAAGACCATCAGTGTCCCGTCGGCTAGAACATCACTTCATCACTGACACAAAGGAGGCAAGTTTTGAATGTCTGTGCTTTACAATTACAGTTACATTATCAAATTGCTTTATTCTTGGGCATGAATAAATTTGTCAGATTCAATCCAGCTTTATTATCAGCATTTTGAGTTTTACAAGCCAATTGTATGCTTCATTGATTAGCAATACAAACTGTACACGTTTGGGAAGAGTCCATTCATTTAAACCTATTGAAAAAATAGCTTACTTCTTAAACCAATTTAAGAATTGGTTTAATTCAGATCTAAAATGGCAACTTCACCTCTGATGCCAGCCTGAAGGGAAGTTTTAACACGCTTTAAACAGTTTCTTGCTTATTGTCATGCACTGCTATGTACAGATCACTCTTTTGTACAGTACAGAATCGCATGCAGATTCTTCCAATGCTCGTCTCATTAGCAGATGTAAATACACAAGCATGAGGAAATGATCAGACTGTCTGTGATTATTGGTAAACGAATGTAAAAGTTCATTTTAGCCTGAATATGAAGGTAAGGTTTCAGACTAAAACAGATCCAATGTGCAACTAGATTCCTGTGAACATGTAGACTAAGCAGGTTTGTTGATATCATGTGATATTCGTCTTGAGTAAATGTCAGTGGCACTAGGAAACACTTTGTGCAAGATCCTCTTTTGTTTTTTAAATACAATTCCATATTTTAAATATCACAAAAAGCTTAAACGTGAAGGTAAACGTCCTCTATTATCACTCGTGAGAGGAATCTGTTTTGTCTTTCTTTTAAATAACAGCAGCATTGATCTAACGAGAGTACATCTTCCAGACCACTAGGGGGAGATATAAACTCATATACTTTACAAATCTCCTACACATCATTTGTGTAAAACGCAAAATGTGGAAGTTTTCATTAAAAAATGCCTATTAAACAGTACATTTTACAGAATTACAATAAGTTACTGCATACATTGCATCTAAACATGGACGTATCACAAAAATGTAATAACAAATGTCTGACATCAGTACCCCAGTGGCACATATCCTATCCACTCTCACAGACAAGTGAAGAGCACTTTCAGTCTTTCAGAGGAATGCTTACCTAATAAATAAAAACATGAGATAGTCCACTAAAAAGCTTCGACATGCCAGTATTTTCACACAGGTCTCTCTTATAACAAACAGTATTTTCTGTCAAACACAGTGGCTTTGAATCAGTCCCGAAAAAATAAGCACACAATAAAAAGCAGCTTGTTTTTGTAGAGTAATGATTTAAGTTATTCTGAATTACAGTACAAAAGAATGATGATCAAGAACTGGCACTATGGAACCAGCATGCCTTTCATTCGTCACATTCATCCCAGTCTTATACACATGTTTGAAGGGATCGTTCACCCCAAAACAAAAACATTATGCTGCAAAAAACCTCCATTGTGATATTTTATATTATGAAAGAATGTTTAGTTCCTTACGAATTGCAGTATGTGTACTTTTCAAGAATTAGTACACCTTTTGTTTGAGCTAGAAATATACAGGAGTTTCCTGCAGACTTGTCATATTTTTATTAAATTTGTCATATCTTCAAAAGCTCAACTTTTTATTATTTCAAGAGTTCACACTTAGCCGATGATTGATAATAAAAGCTTGTTTGGCATGCTGTCCCGGGAGAGAGACTTGACCTTATGAGATCCTTGAGCCCTGGGCTCCCTCCTGTTGCAGGGGAAGAGGGGAGTTTTAGCTCAAGTAGATCTGGATGAACTCCCCCGGCTTATTTCTAGCTAAATGATGGATATGGATGACTGAGGGGAGGTGTACTCGCTAAGAGCTTGACTGTGGTATCAATTTTGTGTGTTCAATTTACTTAGGTTGCGTGTTATTTGGACTTTAGGAGAAAACTGGTAAACATGGGGAAAAACCCACACGAGCACGGAGAGAACAAGTGAAACTCTGCACAGAAATGTCTGGTTTAGTAGGGACTTAAAACAGAGGCATTCTTGCTGTGAGGCAACAGTGCTAATCACTGGGCCGCCGTGTCGCCCATCTGAAAAGGAGGGAAAGTAGGGGTGGGTAGGGGGGTCCTTCAAGACAAAGATATTGAGATAGGAAAACTCTGATTATTTATAGGGAGTTAGAAATTATCTGATTGGAGAATCAATCATGAGCTGATGCTGGAACGACTGAGGACAATCATAAGCACATGATTCTCTTGAAATTTGTTTATAAATAAACTTCACTTTGAGTGTTAAACATTGTTTTTAAACCTGTATAAATTAAAAAACAATATCTGTGTTTAAAGTGCTCTATTGTTGAACAAAATCGCAATTTAGCCAACTCACTAAACCGTACCACAATGTTTAATTCAATATACGGTGGACTTTGAAACGGCAATTTAACTTGCATCAACAGATTCCAACCAATGTGGATAATCACCATATTACAACACGCCACATCTCAGACGCTCTAAAACCCATCAAATGCCTAATGAACAAGTTCAACTGGCACAAATAAGCAACCAATGGCAGCACATGCCAACAGGAATAACACGCTAATCAAACAAAAGCAGGCTCTCTGTTTGGTCAGTGCAATATAAACTGGCCTACGCAGAATTACAATGACATTTTTGGGGTGAACAATCCCTTTGATTCAGTTCGACCCGCACAGCATCCAGAAAGATATCCATACTGACATCAGAGATGCGACCTGACTGCGCTGCGTTCTGAATATGGTGCAGTTTCTGAGATGTCGCAGTGGTCGTCTTTAGGTTTGGGCCTCTGGTAGAGGTAACCCTGGCTCACACGATGCAGTGGACGGAGCCAGACCTGTCGCTCCCCGACAGAGCAGTCCCTTTGCTGTGGCTGTGGATGCATCCCCTCCGTTAAAGGTCCTGTAGGGTCTTCGTGGAGGCCCACGGCGTGATGGAGGAGCTCCACGCAGGCACAAGGAAGGGAAGCTGAAGCCGGCCAGACAGCAGGCTGGACACGAAATCACATCGTCTTGTTCGGTAGGCGGTAAAGGTTCTGGAGCAGGGCCTCGGTACCCGTTCAGTCTCACCCATGCAAATGGACGTCCAGGCCTCAGAACTCCATTATTATTGTCCAAACGAGGAAGAGGAGGTAATAATGGTGGTCCATTAGAGATGGGTGTAGCCCAACCATTGGACTGCAAGGACGAGGAATAAGATGATCCGCTGATTAAACGCTTCCCTGAAACATTTCCTTCAGTCGTGTCAGGTGAGCTACTGCAGTCCATGGGCTCGGTGAGACTTTGTCCTTCTTTCTCCACCTCTTCATCCTCCTCTTCCTCCTCAACCCGTTCTAAAGACACCATATCTAAGTCCAGAACCAGGCCTGAGTCCTCCACCGCATCTTGTTGTCCTTCCAACTCTTTGTCTTTCGTTTCCTGGCCCAGTTCTTCACTCCGATCTTCTTCTACCTCTTGATCTCTGAAGGGTAACTGTCGTCCTAGTTCAGGGGTGCAGGGCAGGGACCGACACCTTCGAGGGGGTCCTCGAAGCCCTGGGCTCCCGCTCAGCGGTGGAGACGCAGAGGGGTCTGGAGGTGGTGGAAGGGTAAAGGTAAGGGAAATGACGGATTTGCTAGGGGTGTCAAACAGCTTGATGCGGCCACCGTTGAGGTCTTGCCGAAGAGAGAATGGGTTGACCCTTGCAGGTGTGCCTAAACATGGGGAAGTGGCAGGAGGAAGCATATCTGACTGGCTGCGGGACAGGCGCTGGTCACAGGGATGGCATGGCGAGCTTCTCCTTCGATATGGGCTGACGTCAATGGCAATGGGTTCTGAAGAAATCACAACAAGCATTGGTTGTCTGTGAACTGACTGTACTGAAAACAATTATTTAATGCTGATGATAAACAGGGCAACTTTCTGAGCAATGTTGTTAGGCAAACAAATGGGCAACCAGGTGAGACATGGACAACTAATGAGGTCAGTGGATTACAGATACAATATAGTCGCCCATTCTACAGTATGTAGAAAAGTGGCTAAGCAACATTGGTCTGCAAAATTGACCTGGCAACATTGCTCAAAAAGTTTCCCTGTGTTTCATAAGCATAAGTGCGGTAAAGAAAGTGTGGTAAACAGAGTGCTTCTACTTTACATTTAATGTATTAATATTTAAATGTTTTAATATACTAAAAATGTAGTCTATTGCTGTGATGACTAAGCAGAATTTACATACAATGCCATGCCATACAATGCCACACGATTAAAAAAATGCTTATTTAGTGCTTCAGAAATAATTCTCATAAATGCTGAAAACCGCTGTCCTGTATAAATATTTTTAAGGAAACTACAATAGAAAAAGTAGAGGATGGCATTTATTTTTGTAATAAATTACTTTACTGTCACTTTATAAATTGAATGTATGCTTGGTCAAGCAAAGCATTAGTTATCTTGAAAAAAGTAATGTTTCATAGTTTCTCACTTGTATTTATTCTGCCTTAGTGTGCATGAGCGAGAGATTTCTCTGAAACACAGGCTGAACGTTAAAGTAAAGCCTGATTTATACTTTCGCCTGGCGCCACGTCTGCACCTCTGCTGACTGAGCGTGCACCTCACAAAATGGACAAAGCTTTTATACGGGCTTTTATAAGGCTGTGTTCGCCGTTGTGATATTCTTTAAAATGTCAGGGGGAGGTCAAAAGAAACCCACCATAAAAGCAGACGGATAAACAGAGAAGTAGAACGTTTCGGGAACTACTTCATATCATTAATATCATTAACTGTTTTAAACTAATTATTTGTATTATTTTTATAATTTATTTTTAATGATTATAAAGATATGTGTAACAATTCAAGATTTTTAAATCAAACTTTAATCCATCACTTGCTTTTGTTCATATCTCAGACAGTTTTACCTATTAAAGTTTATTTAAATATTAATGACGAGAACAAATATACAAATATATCTTTTATTATGGCAAGAATAAAAGCAAAATAGGTACACTTACTAAAAAATACAGACTTTTTTAGATTTAGCCCACTCCACAATTGACACATTACTGTCTGGCTAGTTTTTGTCCTCTACTTATGCAAAAAGGCAATAATGGTCCAACATTTCTGACCATTATCTCCAATAAAGCCTAGAAAAACAGGGCTTCAGCGTATTGTAAATGGATAGGTTCAAATATTCCTTTCCAGTTATAAAATAAACAATTTGTTCCTTAATTATATTTTTGTAATTAATAAATTGTTTTAAATGTAAAATTGTAATATATAGCTGCATCAATGTAAAAAAAATGGTGGAAAAACATATTTCTGTAATTGTTTATTAAAACCACCTGGGTCTCTACTTTTGCCATGGCCTCGCTTGACTTAAACTTATCCCTCAGGTTTTTCCGAACTTTTACAAAAGCCATCTTCCTTTTCAACGACTGTTGCAATTTCTAGCCAAGAATTATTGATCATCTGGTTATCCCTATGATTCTGCATGGACCACATCATAAAGATGTCTGTACAGTCGTACGGTTTCAGATAAAATATTCAACTCAAATCAAACACAGCACCGCACGAACTGCTTGCTCAAGTCTCAAAAAAATTTGTGAGCTCCGCCAGTGGAAATCATGTCGCGCATCCTCAAATCGAACCTCTGCAAACACAGCGATGACATCACATTTGCAGCACGCACTCAAGCAAACTAGCAGACACTTGGAGTATAAACCAGGCTTAAATGTTCTTAATGTGTAATTATAATGTAGTCACTTAGAAATCATTGGGTCATATAACCTAACTGCATTGATTAGAGTTATGTTCAGGGTTATGTTTAGTGATAGTAACTAGTTATTTCCCATTTTATGTAATGATATGGTAAGTACATAGTGCTTACCCGCAAAACTGTAAAACAGTGCAACCCAAAAACCCGAAAGTATCACAAATGTTCGAATATTTATGTCTGACTGAAAATGATAGTTATAAATACGAACTCATTCCACTCCAATATTACTGTCAACCATGATAGAATTTTACTTGTACTCACCCAGGATGACTGGAATTTCACTCTTCACTCGTTCTCTTTCTATCCTCTCGAGCATCACTACAATTTCAGAGAAGGCAGGACGACTGTCTGCATTCATCTATCACAGAAACATAATAACAAATATGAAAATGCAAATATAAAATAACTTCAGTACTTAACTCTGGGAATGTGAAATGTTAGTTTAATTGTCTATGGATATATAGCTTACATTGCAGCAGTCGACAGCCATTTGAAGAAATGAAGGTGGACAGTCTCCCACCATATGCTCAAATGTGTCCACATCCAGTCCAAAATCCTACAATAAGAAAAGTCATATTTCTTACAGTATGCACTACACTGGACAGACATCTTCAGACTTGCACCATTGCAGAAACAGCACAAACGATGTTGGATAATTATATAATATTATTAATATACAATTGGTTTGTACATTTTTTGCTTAAAAGAAACAATAACAGTGTATTTTTGTGGAAATATGCAACATGCTGCTTCTCCACCAGAGGGAGACAACACATTAAAACTGCAGAAGATTATTTTATTTAGATGTAGATTCATCACTGCATTACTTGGTTAATATAAGCACAAGTATAATGTAAATAATACCATAATACCCTGGAGCACAAATATCGACTTAAATTGCACAAGTATATTTTTGTCAATCATTCAAAATACATTGAATACATATAAAATCAAAATACATCTAGGTCAAAATTATTAATTTTTCTTTTTGTCAAATGTGATTAGTACAGTCATGTTTCATGAAGAACCATACAATGAACAATCCATACACCAATGGAAACCTTTTTATTAAGAATTATTATTATTATTAATCATTAAGAATTCAGGTTATATATATATATATATATATATATATATATATATATATATATATATATATATATATATATATATACACACACACACACACACACACACACACACACACACACACACACACACACACATACATATACACACTCACTGGTCACTTTATTAGGTACACCTGTCCAACTGTAAAGTTCTAATCAGCCAATTACATGGCAGGACCTCAATGCATTTAGGCATGTAGACATGTTCAAGATGATCTGCTGGAGGTTAAACCGAGCATCAGAATGGGGAATAAAGGTGATTTAAGTAACTTTGAATGTGGTATGGTTGTTGGTGCCAGATGAGCTGATCTAAGTATTTAAGAAACTGCTGATCTACTGGAATTTTCACGCACAACCATCTTTAGGGTTTAAAGAGAATGATGCGAAAAAGAGAAAATATCTAACAAGACATAATGGCCAGACTGGTTCAAGCTGATAGAAAGGCAACAGTAACTCAAATAACCACTCATTTCAACTGAGATATTCAGGAGACCATCTCCGAATGTACAACACGTCCAACCTTGAGGTGGATGGGCTACAACAGCAGAAGACCACACCGAGTGCCACTCCTGTCTGCTAAGAACAGGAAACTGAGGCTACAATTCACACAGGCTCAACAAAATTGGACAATAGAAGTTTGGACAAACATTGCCTGGTCCAATGAGTCACAATTTCTGCTCAGACATTTGGATGGTAGGGTTAGAATTTGGCGTCAACAAAAAAATATGGATCCCTCCTTAATTGTATCAATGGTTCAGGTTGGTGGTGTTGGTGTAATGGTGTGGGGATATTTTCTTGGCACACTTTGGGTCCATTAGTACCAATTGAGCATTATGTCAATGCCACAGCTTACCTGAGTATTGTTGCTGACATTCGCATCATGGATGTGCAGCCAATATGCAGCAACTGCTTGATGCTGTCATGTCAATATGGAGCAAAATCTCTGAGGAATATTTCCAGCCCCTTGTTAAATCCATGCCACAAAGGATTAGGGCAGTTCTGAAGGCAAAAGGAGGTCCAACCCTCTACTAGTAAAGTGTACTTAATAAAGTGGCTGGTGGGTGTATATTGTAAGTATACTTATGACTAGTTTTGTTTCATTTAATGCAATTTTAGACTATAAACAACAGACTTTCTGCATCAAGTAAACACATTAGTTATGCAGCTGTATAACCTATGGTACTGTACACTGACATAAACCTCTCAAAATTTAATTACACATCACAATGTCACATACTGCAAAATCTGTACTCAGGAGCTTCACATGTTATCCTATGCATTTACAGCCTGCAAGCCATGTGTTTGATTCCCCTGGTCTAAGACTTGCCCTTGATTAAATTTAGCTTTAAAATAATATTTCAAAGAAAATCTTATTTGCCTGACTCAAAGCTTGTATATTTGGTAAAGCACTGCTTGATTCTAAGCCTGATTCTGTGCTTCATGTTCTGCTGTACAGTTGTATGTACCTCTGTCCGTGGGAGGATATCTGGGTCAGCCTCAATTCGAGCAATAATCTCACAAAGGATTATTCCATATGCAAAGACATCCACCTATGATATGAAAACAGCGTAAATAAAGTGACACAAGCACACAAGCAAGAGTGTAATGCTGAGTTTTTAAAGGCAGAATACCTTCTCATTGTACAGCTCTCCTCTTAACATTTCTGGAGCCATCCAGTAGGGGGAGCCCACAACGGCTAAAGGTTGTTTTTCAACCCCATCACTGTAGACAAGTTAGACATGTTATACACCTCTGTTTAATACATTTTTGGGCTATATTTGGAAAGGTATTGTGAATACAGTCTTAGAAAATTGATAGTGATGATAATTCTGACATATTTTAATTGCCCTCCATTTCTTACTTTTTTCTTCGATGAAAAACAAAAGAAGACATTTTAAAGAGTTCTGGAAATCTGTAGGAATTGAGTTCTGTATTATTTTTTCCTATGATGGATGTCAATGGCTAGAGTTCAGTTACTTGAACTTGGACTCAGACTCGAGTCCAATTTTGATTGGTCACAGACTCTGTGGTGAACTTGTACTTGGACTTGACTCGGACTTGGACATTTTGGACTCTAAAACTATCACAAGTAGCGTCGAGTCCACATCATCCACAACACGAATAAAGAGATTAAAAATTAATAAATGACAGCATGAAATTAAGACAGGAGTTTATTGAACTCTGCTGCCAGCATTTATTTTTGGCACTGCACTTGACTGGTTAAGGACTTGGTCTTCACTTGGACTCAACGAAGGTAGACTCGACCCCAACACTATTAACGGCTATTTTCAACTTTCAACTTCAAAATATATTCTTTTGTGAACAATAAAAAATAAACACATTAAAAAATAATACAGTTTTTTTTTTTTTTTTTTAAATAGGCTCTTTTTACAAGACCACTAGAGTTTTGCCATTGTGAAATCCATTCAGTTGATCTCTGGGTCTGGTGAAATCATTTTTATGTTAGCTTAGCATGTATCATTGAATTAGATAAGACCATTAGAATTCACTCAACAAAGAAATAAATAAATAAATTTGACGTATATACCATTTTGAGGGATGCAAACAAAAACAGTGGTCCCAATATATTTCCAGTTCTACATTTTTAATGCTTCCGGAAATCCAAAGAGAGCCACATACTGATACTGGTAATGACTGATAATGTTATGATAGCTGTTTTAACATTAAGTTATGATTGTATTGCCTTTTGTTACAGTAATGAAATAGTTTGATATGTAAATTTTCATGGGCCAATTACATCACCACATTGAAATGGTCTGTATGATGTACTACATAATGTAACTACAGAGGAGTCTAGCTTTAAATAGGAAAATTATCAAAACTTTTTTTATGATTTTTTTTAAAGTTGGATGCAAATAGTCTAATCAGATTCAATGATTGACGCTAAGCTAAGCTAAAAGTGCTCCTGCCAGATTAGCTGAATGAATAGAAAATGATAACTGCTTAACCCTAGTGGAGTTGTAAAATGAGCCTAGTACCAGAATTCTATGAGTACTAGAATTACCCTATCGTTCATTCTGATCGTTCTCATATAAGAAGTCATATTGTCATGTCAGATTTAAATTCAAAGCTTCTTTTATTAAAAGTAACCTTTGAATGTCTGTCATCTTATTTTAATAAGTCATAACCCTGAAAACATGATCTTTTTGGTAATGCAGCTTATAGTTATGATGACTTAAATAGCTATGAGACCATCAACGAAGATTCGCACCTAACTCTCATCTTAATTTCCACAAGTGGTAGAGCAAGTTTTTTTCACGGCACTGAAAATCTTGTTATGAAAGACATGTCTGAAGTAAAATCATTTGTTTGCTCTCATAAAGTTATGTTTTTGTTAGTTGCTAGGCAACAGAGACATGCATATTCAAAGTCACAGGGAAAAGAAGCAGATACCACTATGGAAATTAAAGGTAGAAATACTTATAGCTCTTTTGTGTTTTGTACTATGAATAAAAAAAACAAAGGTTGAAAGAAATAAACATATTTGGGAAAAGTCAATTATAGATAAGTGGGTTTTATTTCAACATAACAATTTATTAAATTACAAAAATTAAAATGGTTAAATGGCCGCCTCGATAGCTCTAGTGTTAAGGTTTGAGTGTTTTAGAAAATCTGTATTATTTCTATGAAGGATAAGAGACATACTGACCTGTAATCAGGGATTTTCTCTGCCAGCCCAAAGTCCCCAACCACAGCTGTAAAAGCACCATTTTCACAACGCACCAGACAATTCTGTAAAAGAGTGTTACAGCGTATATTTAAATATTCTGTTCAGTCTCATCCTCTCCTCATCTTAACCTTATTTTTTGTCCTGCATCTCTATGTCGAAAGAACAAAGTGAGTAAACATAGATGCTCCAACAGTTGTGTCAAAGAACAAAGTGAGTAAACATAGATGCTCCAACAGTTGTGTCTGTACCTTTGATGTAAGGTCTCGGTGGAAAATGCCCTTGCTGTGAAGGTACTGCAGTCCTCTAGCAATGTCAAGGGACAGACCGATTCTCACAGTCCATGACAGATATATGTCACTGTCCAGCAGCTGCTCCAGGTTGCCACCATTTATGTACTGCAATGTAGTGACATTATAGTTATTATCTCATAAACAAGGAAGTCCTTTAACTCCTGTAGTGCACAATGTCTTACCTCTGTAAGAGCATGAAGCTGTCCTTCATGAACACACACCCCCAAAAACCTGAGAAAGACATAATGGTGAGTATAGAACCATAACATTTTTGTGAAGAAGCATTTTAAAAATTTGGATACTTAAAATTTGATTTATTTAATCAAATAGCTATTGTATTGGGTGCATCTGTTAAACTAACTGTTAAAGGGATAGTTCATCCAAAAATTTAAATCATTTACTCATCATCCACTGGTTCCAAACCTGTTTGAGTTTCTTCTGTTGAACACAATGGAAAATATACTGTAGAACATTTGAAAAATGTCCAATGCTATTGATTATTGTTTCTACTGTGTAGGTCATTGGCTGCTTTTTCCAACATTCTCCAAAACATCTTGTTTTGTGTTCAACAGAAGAAACAAATTCATAAACATCTAGAACCAGGAAGGAAATGGTGAAGAAATTTTTGGGTGTACCATGCCTTTAATGTAAGTAATCAGCCAATCACATGGGAGAAAATCAATGCATTTAGGCATGTAAACAGATTAAAGATGATCTGCTAAAGTTCAAACTAAGCATCAAAAAGGGGAGGAAATGTGATTTCAATGACTCTAAACATGGCATAGTCTGGTCTGAATATTACACAAACTGCTGATCTATTGAGATTTTCATGTACAACTCTCAAGAGTACAAGGTAAATGCTCTTAAAATACAATATCCAGAGTTGTGGGCCTTGTTGATGCAAAAGTAACTCAATTAAGCACTCATTACAATTGAGGTCTTTGGAAAAACCTCTCTGAACAAACAAAACCTTGAAGAAGATGAGCTACAACAGAAGAAGATCAAACCACTAAGCAAAATAATGAGGCTAAAATTCAAGCAGGCTCACTAAAATAGAGGAATAAGTTTGATTAGTCTCGATTTCTGCTTCTATTTTCAGATGGTAGGGTCAGAATTTGGCATAACAACATGAAAGCATGGATCCATCCTGGCTTGTATAAATATTTTAGGTTGTTGGTTTGTTTAAGCAAGGTTTAGACACTACAGGCTACCTGAGTATAGTTGCTGACCATGTTCCCCCTTATGACCAAAGTGTACTTATCTTGTGATGGCCAAGATCAAATAATCAATGTTTCTTGAAGGTGACTATGAGTTTACTATACACATGTGGCCTCCACAGTCATCAGATCTCAATCCAATAGAGCATCTTTAGAATGTGGAGGAACGGGAGATTCAAATCATGAATATGCAGCCGACCATTGTAAATATACAATCTACAGCAGCTGCAAAATCTCTGAGAAACCTTTATAGCACCTCGTTGACTCTTTGCCTTGAAAATGAAGGCAGATTTATTGGCAAAAAGGGGGTTCAACTTAGGTGCCATTTACACTAGTGCAGCAAAATATGATCTCCGTCCACACTATACCTGAAAAGCATGATGCACGTCCGAGCACACTCACTGGGTATGTGCATATTTTGCCAGGATCCATTATTGCATTGTACTGCTTGTGTAATGGACTATACTGAAATACCTATTACCTATACATTTAATAGTATACTTCATTCTCATCACATTAAACAAAAAACTCAAGTAAAACATCATTTATATCATAGGTTCCAGCAGCTAAGTAATGAACTGAGTAGTACCATGCATACAGACGAAATTACTTCCAGTTTTATCTCACACCTGAGAATGTTGGGGTGGCAGAGTCGGTTCATGAGTTGCACCTCTCTCAGCATATTGGCTTTGTTACTGGCCAGTGTGTTCATCTTCAGAGCCATCACCTGCCCAGTGATCCTGTGCTGCACCTGACAAATACAAACATACACACATTAATTCAACAAAACTCATTGTATCATACATGTAGTAGATAGTAGAAACTATGTTGCTAAATGTAAATGCATCAAGTAATTATGTTGTGCCCATTAAACTTTTGTCCCTCAACAAAAAAATAATAACAAATAAATAAAATATGTTTCCCATTTAACACAGTTTTACATGGCATTGTTGTTTAATAGATTAAAGTAAAATTAAAAATCAGTTGAAATAATATTTTTTACTATTCAGGAGCAATATGCCACCCACTGACAGGTACATAAAAGCTGCTGCTCTCTCTCTCTCTCGGTTGTAGTCTTGGTGCTAGGGGATTGAAATGCACTTGCAAATGTTTGCATATGTACATGATCTACCTACCAAACTAAAACTAATGCAAAAATGCATACAATTAATGATGGCTGTAGAATGCAAAGGCCAATCCTGGATGCATTTTAATGATATGTCTAAGAAAAATGGACACATGGTCACCTTGATCTAAAATTGTAGTTTTGGCTTCAATACCTCCATAAAGTTTACACACCTCTACAATAGACAAAATAAAATGATGTTTCCTTTGCTCAAGGCAGTATGAATTAATAGTAAATGCACCTTTTCCACAAAAATATTATTTCTTCTATATATTTATTTATTCTATAACAAATAATAAACACTTCATTTATATACTTTACAGCTTAGTCTCTTTATTAATCAGGGGTCACCTGATTAAATCAATAAAAATCAATAAATCAATAATAATATAATCAATAATAAATCAATAATAATATATAATAACAATATATAAATCAATAAAATCAATAATAATAAATACATAAACTTTATAACGTAAAGAACTAACTTAATAAAAATTGTACATCAATATCTGGTGTCTGCATGCAAAATAAAAAAAACCTAGATTGCTAATCACTCATACTCTACATACTTCAAGAGAATCATGCATACATTACAAAAGAACAACAGACAAATATATTTTAAAACATTTCACTTTTAGCAAATTATTAAAGTCAAAATATACTTATATTCAAGATAATGGCTGCGTCTGAAATCGCCTACTACTCAATAAGTACTGCACTTGAATTCAAACGTACTACTTGACCATTAAAAAAGTACATTCTATACAGTATGAATGAAAGTAGTATGAAGGGATCTCGGACGTACTACATTTGCTATTTTGTCATGATCACGTGAAACACCCACTTCAGCTGTGTCGCTTCACTCGCATTCATCATTTCTCTCGCGGTGCATCATGGGATAGCATAGCGTGCATCCGATGCGCACTTCAGAATCTTGCCAGAAGGAGTAGGTCATCCAGGAACTTCTCGCATACTGTTTTTCGAATTCTATGGATTCGGACATACTGTTTTTAGCGTACTATACAGCAGATGCGATTTTGGACGCAGCCAAAGTCTCTGAAAACGTCTTGTAGTAGCATTTGTTTTCTTTAAATCTTTTTTATGGAACAACATTATGGCACTTAAAATATATAACACATTTATAGTTACAATATATCTATTTATTAAACAAAATATGTGCAAAATGCATCACTGCAATCTGCCGCTCAGCACATAATCAGAAGTGCTTGATGGCTCAGTAATGTATATCATCTGCTCTCATTCAAGATCAAATCTATGTACATCTGCACAAGAGTATCTAAAGCTTTTCTGGGTTTATACGGCAGAATTACTCAGAAAGATGCATTAGACTGATTTGGCATAAAAACAGAAGAAACTGCAGGGATTTGCGCGTACAATAATGCAAATAGTCGCATTAGTGATTCAGGTTTAAATTAAATATGTTTTTGTTGTTGTTGTTTGTATGAGAGAGAGAGAGAGAGAGGGAGAGATAGAGATAGAGAAAGATCTATTTTTGTATTGATTTGTATGAATAATATATGTTGAATAATAATATACAATATTGAATATTAATGTGATATATTAAATAATATGATGTATTGTTGATATTTTATTTAATTATTATATATAAACATCATGTTCTTTTTTTAATACTACTATTTACTGTGTGTACTTTTTTATTATATTTGTATGTTACTTTTTATGTAAACTTTATAACTGCTTTGGCAATACATTTGTAACATTTGTCATGCCAATAAAGCAATTATTGAATTGAATTGAATTGAGAGAGAGAGAGAGAGAGAGAGAGAGAGAGAGAGAGAGAGAGAGAGAGAGAGAGAGAGAGAGAGAGAGAGAGAGAGAGAGAGAGAGAGATCCAGTGCAGTATGCTGAGTATAAATAGCTATTAGGAACTAATAGGCTTTCTGGATTTCCCGTCATCCCACCTTACCAGCTTGAATCCAGGACATCACAACAACATACAAAACCTTCACCCACTACCACACATCCGTCACACCATGCACACCAGACATCATCCAACAAGTATAACTGACTTTGACCTATATTTGTGAAGCACATGTCAGAGGTGCATTAATTTTTTTGCTTTCAAACATTCATTTGTCAGTAAGACATAGTCGCTCTGACATCACTTTTCTTTAAATAAATAATAATGAATGTTGACTTGTTAAAATAAAGAAACTAGAGAAAGAAACTTACTGGAGTTTTCAAGAAATGCTGATTTCTCAAATGTTACATGCACTGCTTTCTGACAAAACTTGTGAGGAAAAAATATCCAAGAATGCATGCCATAAAAGCTTTGTTTCGCTTTATTTGTACCAAATAAATTAGTAAATATGTTATTACGGTTTTATTAAGTTAAATATTCAGCAAAAATAAATGCAATACTGATTTGGACGACCACTACATAAAGTATAATGTCTATATCATAATGTGACCATCGGCATCATAAAATAAAAAACAGCTGAGATCATTTTTTTTAATTATTTGCTTAAATTTTATTATTTGCTTGAAATAGGCAAAAACCCTAAAAAAAGAAGGAACAGATTTTTTCTGACTTGCACCACATACTCCTCTGACTTGCGCAGACAGATTAGTGCAGGTTGGTAATCTGATTATGCTGTCGAGTAGGACCAACCTGTCCTATCATTAATCACAGACAATGCAGCTCTTAAGTTGGACACATACTGTATGGCACTGTTCTATCATGTACAACACAAGACAATTGAGATGCAGGGATAACTAAAGCTATTATACACTCTTGAGACAAAAAAATTATGGCTTTTTAAATTATTTAAATGTCAATGTGTGCTTACAAGTTTATGTGAACGAGATATTATTATGAACAATGTGCAGAAGTGATTTCTGATGCATTTATTTGTTTGTGGTACTATTTAAAAATCAAGACTTGAATAAAGGTGTTATAATAATCTATTATTTTTTCATTATTACTACTTTATTATTATTTATATTTGCTTATTTATTTATTAACTTATTTTAATGGTGTTGCCTCCTTTTTTCCATTTTGTTAGAGGGTGAGGTGGTTGGAGAGAAATTGAGATGTAAAATGTTTGCTTTGCTTACGTGACTGTTATATAGTGTGTAACCAGTAGTAATATGCAAACTGATAAAATTATAAGTATATTGTTAAAAAAAGAATAAAAGTGTTATATGTATTATGAAATATTATATCTTATATTTATCTTATTATATCTTATATCTAAAAATGCTGAGTTCCACTTAATCTTTTCAGGTCGTCCCAACGCAAATCAATTAAGTTTACTTAATGCTTTTTACAATTTTGAGTTGACTAAACATTAAAAATTAAGATGCCCCCCTCCTTAAAAACTCAAGTTCTGTTGTTTTAGCTCATTTTAAATAAGTAGTTAGTACAAGCAGCAAAAAAAGCTTTTTTAATTGAATAACAATAACAATTAGGAGACATTCTACCATGAAACGTACATTTTCTCTTATAAAAAATGTGACAGGACCTGATTTAAGCTTGTTGTCCTCAAAAAAATCATACAAAAACAAGCATAAAATCATACAATTCAATGTCAGAAGGCATCCTTTATTGTTAAATTTCAATTTAATGCAAATGTAACAGGACTGACCGAAACATGGGGACAATTGTACATTTATTAGTATCATATATTTATAGTTTTTATTTATAGAATTTATTCATAATTTCATGTTTTTGATCAGTTGATGTGAATGATAACAACAACTAAGACTTGCTATTTCGGAAGTATTTTATCCAAAATAACGGTTTTTAGCATAACAAAACTATTAAAGCTGTAGGTTAAATTTGGCTGAGGACATGGACAATGACAGTTTGTGCAGTGTAAAGTGTTTTAAATAAAGAACAAAAATCTGAGAACCAAATGAATGAGATATTCCTTTACAGAAATCAACCATCAGTCCATTTTAGAAAGTTTTGGCATGAACTACTTTTAATTCGCTGTATTTATGTTATTCCAGGGACAAATAATGTACGTTTCTGGTAGAATATCCCTTAAATAATAATAATAATTATTAATATTCTTAGTTTCTGTATCAAAAAGAGTAAAGTTTACCTTAAACACTTCTGAGAAGAACCCTGAGCCGATTTTTTCACAGAAAAAATCGTCAATCCGTGCCAGGCTGGACACGGCACTGCGCAGAGCCCGGTACGAAGAAGGCCGAATCCGGTTAGGCCCGTAAAGGGCATGCAAAGGGGGTTCGCATGGTTCTTGGTTCTCATCTTGATCCATTATGATGGACAGGCTGAAAGCGGGTCACTTTAACGCAACCAAGTCCAAATATCCATATTAAAAGGGAGATGCACTACAGAATAATCACGGCTCAACCACTAGCAAAAACTCGCGTAACAATGTTAACCACATAAAATTAGCCGATTAAATATTCTCCGAAAAGGCAAGACGACTTCCAGTGATGAGAAGTGCGCTCGGGCTTTCCCGAGAGATGCGGATGCCATGTTTCATATTCCGGCCGGTCCCTAAATCAGGTCGCTGCCGGTGCAGACAAGCAAATCTGTCCTCTCCAGTAGGTTATCTGACGGTAGATTCACTCTCATTCGAGCAAACAACCTGTAAGAAATGATGAATACTGTTTAAAATAAGTACTGCAATTATTCTTGTATGGATGAGCTGATAGAAATGGCGACAGCATGACCAGGTGAAATGATGCCAGAGACAGCAGCACTACCGTTACCGTTTCTATGACAAATCTTACGCAAGCTCTTAAATAAATATGAAAAGTAGCTAAATCATTCCGACGGCTGCAAAAATGCGGTGTGGGTATGTGTGTGTGTCCGCACCATCTGTCAAGCCTGGCTACAGACGGATCCATTGCGGATTGCTGCTGAAATGGCATGACCGCTGTGAGGGCTTTTGCTCCGAGCGCAGTTCATATCTCACCGTTATCGATTCATAAGCGACTGCCATTTCGCAGACTTATCCGATCATTGTTTTCTATTAGACATGCTAAATTTGTATAAAAAAGCATCTTTGAGTATGCATGCAAATTCAACCGGGAGAAACATGCACGTAGCTGGGCCCATGCGGCTGCCCCGGAATATGGCACTCTACCTGATTTTGGTGAGGTCGACGAAAATATGTTCTTATTTGGGTGCCGACGTTGCATTTAGCAGGTCTTCACTGTTTTGTCAACAACGTATCGTTTGCAAGCTGTCACTGTCCGTCTCGGCCATGGAGTAACGCGTATGCCGCTTGTAAATTTGACTGTTCATTGGTGAAGAATAGGGGCTGGTCTTGGCAAGGCTGGACATTGCGCGTCGAGCATGCGCAGAAAAGGTTCCAACGTGTGCCAGTGTGATTCTGCATTATTGAAGCACTTTCAGGAGAACGAAACAATGAGGCGCTGCAGGCTGCAAGACTAAAATCTAAGCTTAGCTGACTTCTAGCAATTGCTTTAAGTAATTTATCAAGGCGTTGCACATTAAAAATAAGTTTTACGTTGCAGTTTAGACAACCTATGCCTTTAATCGTGATGCCAGTTTTCATATTAAGGCTTCTGATTGGCCGCTGTGCACATCAATCAAGCATGCGAGCCAATGAGAGCGCTCAGCGCGATGGCGTTGCTCAACTATGATGTCACCTTTAAATTTCGTGTCACAATGCAACGTTTATAAAATACAGATGATATCATCGGCGTGAGTCAGCAGTGCAAAAACACCTAGATCTCTTTTATTTCAAATAAAAACATTGATTGCATCATAGCATTTTGGTCACCTAAAATAATGAGGATTAAATTATTGTCATTAAATAACCGACACATAAGTGCGTAGCTTAGTATTATTTTAGTCTAGAGCACAAGAAAGTTAACATATAACCTGAAATTGTATATAACCTATAGTTTGACGAGGTTTCTATATTAAATGGAAGGTTTGCCAAAAAAGCTCTCTATAAATACACCAATATGGAACACAAACAGCATAGTACATAAAAGCATAGTACAATCTAAGCACTTTATTCTAAAGCACATGGGTCACGAGACAGTTTAGAAACGTGTTAATGCTTAAAATTTGTAAAGTGCCGCAACGAGGCATCAATGTGAATATCGTTAAATTGAATATGTGACATACACTCTCAGAAAAAAATGTACAATGTTGTACCAAAGAAGGTACAAACCCTTGTCACTGGGGCAGTACCCTTTATGGGACAGAATTGTACCTTAAGACAAAAAAAACAAATTTGTATCATGGCAGTTTGTACCACAAGATCTGTACTATTGGAAACGAAAATATACATTTGGTTTTTAAAACCTGCAGATACAATATCATTCCTTCAAAAATCTGATCCATGAAGGTACTACAGTGACAAGACACTTGTACCTAACAGTGTCAAAAATGCTTACCAAACATTTATTTTAAATGCCTTACATATTTAGTTTACAATACCTATCGTTTTATGTTTTACCAGTTGTTTTGTATTATTGTATTATAGAACTTAATAATTAATGTTTATGAGTTTCTTTAACCATTTACTTTTAAATTTAAATCAGATGATTCATGGTTTAATTTGCTTGACGTGGTGGCGCAGTAGGTAAGGCTTGTCACCTCACAGCAAGAAGGTCTCTGGTTCGAGCCTCGGCAGGGTTGGCATTTCTATGTGGAGTTTGCATGTTCTCCCTGTGTTGGCGTGGGTTTCCTCCGGGTGCTCCGGTTTCCTCCACAAGTCCAAAGACATGCGGTACAGGTGAATAGGGAAGGCTAAATTGGCCTTAGTGTATGTGTGTGAATCAGTGTGTGTGGATGTTTCCTATTGATGGGTTGCAGCTGAAAGGGGAATCACTGCGTACATATGCTGGATAAGTTGGTGGTTCATTCAGCTGTGGCGACTCCAGATTAATAAAGGGACTAAAACGAAAAGAAAATGAATGAATGAATGTTTTAATAAGAAAATTATTCCTAAAATCACTTTGCCTTTCCAGTCATATTTATTTTCATTAGGTATTGTAATACAGAAGGAGTTGTCCAACACTTATGTGCCTTTTATGAGAACAATTGTGTACCTTCATTTTAGTTATACCATAAAAGGAACAGTATCATGAGGACTTTATAAGGTACAACTTTTACAAAGATACAAAACTGTATAAGGAATATTATTTGTACCACCGTGTAGGCTATATTCAGGTGAAAATACACAGAACACACAGACTAAAATGTTTTCGATCAAGATCGGTTATTAAAACTGCACGAGAATTTTCAAAGGCTGATAAATTCATCATAAGCAAATTACTTTGAGGTTTGGTGAATCAGGGCTTCAGGAGAGAGTGATTTGCATGTAGGTTTAATTGAACAGATTTGACTGCAGGGCACTGCAGAGCAAACAGTAAATGGTTGAAAAATATTCTAGGGCGGGAAAAAAATTATATGGTTGAAAATAGATTCACACAAACTTTACACATTTCCCAGAGATGGGTTGCGGCTTGAAGGACATACACTGTGTAAAAACGTGCTGGATAAGTTGGCGGTTCATTCCACTGTGGTGACCCCGGATTAATAAGGGACTAAGCAGAAAAGAAAATGAATGAAACTTTTCACAGCAAAACTACCACATCAGACTGCACTGCACATGAATAGATCAAATCTGAGCGTGGTAAAGAGACGCCCTCTGTTGGAGAAACTAAAAACGTGCCTCATATACTGACGGTGAGCATACAAATTATATGTATAAAAATTATATGCTATTATTTGTAGGCCTACCGTCACAGGCTAGTCGCCAGCCTGGTAAAAGAGGTGGTTCTTTATTCTCAAAAAGTGGACTTTTTTGCAGTTATTCGCCTCGTTTTCTGTTTCATTATGAGGTTTAAATGCAAGGGACATTTTAAGCACTATTTTACGTGGATTAGCTTGACGGACCGTCATCAAATCAATGTAAGAATATATTTCCAAATGTTTTATAATAAAGAATTATGGAAAAATGTAAAATACAAAATTTATTACATCATATATCATTAAATATGTAGCCTGTTGCCATTTAGACAAATAAAGCTGGACTGAACTTTTCTCCGTCAGAGTTTGGCCATTCTTCAGAGTATGAAGCATAGCTACATATACAAATACTATACAAATTATATATAGAATTTGTAATAAATTATATCTGCAATATAATTAATATTATATATATATATATATATATATATATATATATATATATATATATATATATATATATATATATATATATATATATATATAGTATAAAAGACATTTTGACCAAAATGCCACTGCATCAAAAACGTTACCAAAAACGTATGCATTCTTTGGAATATCGTATATTTGTTTAGTTTTCATTTAAAAATGACAAATAAAAATAATAGGCTAATATAAAATACTGTTTTATATTATTATATGTAATATAATATGTATAATAAAATATAATCTAAAAGAATATTATAAAATATTTATAATTTAATATTAAATACAATTATTACAATAGATAGATAGATAGATAGATAGATAGATAGATAGATAGATAGATAGATAGATAGATAGATAGATAGATAGATAGATAGATAGTTTATGTGTTAATAATGTGAATAATATGTGTTTTAATGAGGCGGCTAAGAAGGAGTTTTAACAGCAGCGAGAAGCTCAAGGCCGCTGTGTGGCTCCATGACGTGATCAAATAGAACATTCGAATGGAACGCGCGGAATCCTACTAGTGCGCGTGAAATTCTAAAATCTTTGTTGGTTGTTGTTGGTTGGAGTTAGCGTTTGCGTATTTTCACAGTCATGGGACATCGATTTACAAAAGTTATTCCGATAACGGACGATGGGGTGTACGATCAACATCTACGTATACCCCATCAACCCGGCACAAACTGGGCGGTTCAACATCTTCATCCTTGCGATGAAACCCCTGTTTGTGTTGTGGGCGGAGGAGGAGATGGAGAGGAGTTGGTGGAGAAAGGTGGAGGAGGAGGAGAGGGAGGTAAGGAAAGAGGAGACAGGGGGTTGGAGGAGGCATGTAGAGTGCAGGAGAAAAGAAAGAAGGGGAAATGGAGGAGGAGGCTGATTTCCATCTTCAAGCCTGCCAAAAAGCCCCTTCCTGAGAGCCCTTCATGCCAGCAGTGCAATGAGGGAGAGCAAAGTAAGGTGGCATGGGCAAGAAAAAGTAGTGATGGTAAGTGACACAAACATGTTATAAAATAGGTCTGCTGTATTTAACAACAGCTGTACTTAAATCACACGTTTTCAAACCATATACAAAAAATACACATCCGTACAAAATAAAATTTTAGGTAATTCCAAAATTCACATCACGGCCATAATTACATCTTTTTTATCCTGTTAAAAATACTGTTATAAGCAGTAAAAGTACAATTACTTGCCTAAAATGTAGTGCAAGAACAGTTAAAGTATATGTTGTAAATATTACTCAGGGTATGAGTAAAAAGTAGCACTTTTAAAAGTACTGTGAAAAGCTGATGCATTTACATGTAATTTGTTTGATGTGTGTAAACGTAACATTCTGTAGTGAATTGAGTTATTGCCCAGCAGGCACACAACGTCATAAGACTTTTAATATATGGTTAGATTTACGTTGTGATGTCAGGTGACCAAAATATTTTGATGTACAATAATGATGTCAAATGACGTTACTATTCGGTGGATTTTAGGTTGTGTTGGAAATTTACCAAAATCCAGCGTTGAGCTAACAGCATAAACCAACAACATATTGACGTCAAATGTCACAGGACTGGAAAAAAATAAAGTATTAATTGCAGGTTCAAAGTAGTGGAGTAGAAGTGCTGATACAGCACAAAAAAATGTACTCAAGGGAGAGTAAAAGTACACATGTTTAAAAAACACTTAGTAATTTACAATTCCTGAGAAAAACTACTCAATTACAGTAATTTGAGTATTTGTAATTTGTTACTTTACACCACTGGATATGAGTCTATTGGCCTACTAATGAATGTTAAAGATATTCAATATTCAGTACAGCACTCAACATCGGAAGTGGATTAAATAAGTTTTACAAGAATGGGTGTTGTTGAACAGTTGAAAGGTTTTGAACCAAACGTTGACTACTATAGTCTCTCTGTATTCCAGGACTCATAACTATTATTTTGTATTAATTGTTTAACATTTGTTATGTTATTTTATCTTTGAATAGACTACATCTTCAGCCATTACACCATTGGTGATGAGCTGGGAAAAGGTGGATTTGGTGTAGTATACGAAGGGAAGCGTTTGGATGATGGTCTCAAGGTAAGTCAATTTAAAGAACACGTTATCAAGCATTCAAAAGTTTGCCCTGT